CTCAGACTCTGCCCCCCCCCAGAACAGAAGGATCTACATTTGGAATCACTAGAGAAGAAAGAAAAGAACAAGAACATGAACCAACACCAGGAATATTGGAGAAAATCAATAACTGATCAATGACTGAGGACATTGATCTGGGATCAGGGAAGTGTGTGGATATTTATTCACAGCGCTGGTGTGCGATGTCGGAGCGGCTCACAGACGGACGTCTCACCTGCAGAACCGTCCTGTCGGGGTTGGATGGATAGGCGAAGGTCAGTCTGTTGAAGCGGACGTGTCCACTCAGGTCATCAGGTCGCAGCGTTCCATCGGTGCTGACCACAGGTCTTCGGTCCATGTACTCGAAGACCCTCTCAGCGGCGCCCACTGATTTCAGCGTGGCTCCCACGCAGTAAACCAACGTCTGCACCACCACAAGACCACAAGGACGTCACACCGACGCCTCTACCGCTGATGTCACTGTATCGTTCAGCATTTTAATGGGTGAAAACCACAAAGCATGATGGGATACCCTGATGTTTGTTCCCACGTCGGACTGGTAGAGCATGAAGGAGAGGAGGCTGCCGACGGTCATCTGTCCACTCTGGATGAACTGCCTGCCGTAGTACAACATCAACACCTGGGTACACAGTCCTGTCAGCTGTGGGTCACACACACACACACACACACACACACACAGATGGACCAGGTGAGGACCAGCGTCTGGTGCGGTCATGGACCGATGGTCTTTGATCAAACCTCTCACCCTCTGCACCAGCAGAGACACCGCCCTGAAACATCCTCTCCGGGTTTTCAGATCCTGCGTCTTCACCAGGCTGCGGCCGTAACGACCGGCCTCGTGTTGTTCGGCGTTGAAGCTGCGGACCACGTTGACGTTGGACAGCACCTCCCTCACTGCTTCACTGGCCTCGGCCATGGAGTCCTGCATGGCCAGCTGGAGCCGCTGACAAACAGAAGGCCAGTGAGCGCTTCAACAGAACCACACCTGCAGGTGGCGCTCCCTTTTACCATATTTTCCATAACGAGGCTCGGAGGCAAAATGCACTGAGGTTAGCCTAAAAGTAGCTGAAGAAAAAGCCTAACAACAGCAAAACGTTTTACTTGATGATATAAAAATAAAAGATTAAGAAAGTGGTAGAAAGATTAGCCCAGAAAAAGTACAGGAAAAGAAGCTAGCCTGCGATAAAAAGTGACCAAAGTCTCGCCCAGAAATAACTCAGCTTTAGCATGGAATGTGGCTAACGCTAAAAATACAGAATTAGCCAAGATAATGGTTAGATGTAATCATCTTCTCACCTAGCAGCTAAAGCTACAGTTCAAACGATCATGAACCAGCCCCCCCCCCCCCCCCCCCCCCCCCCCCCCCCCCCCCCCCGCTCTGGTCCTGTGGTTGGTGCTAACCTGGTCGTGCGTGTCGTAGATGTTCTGGACCAGGCCTGTGACCGGGGTCTCCAACAGGATGAGAAGGGTCAGCTTCCAGGAAAGGCTCATCATCAGGGTGATCATTCCCACCGTCCTGATGAAGGTCCTCAGCAGGACGTTGACGTTCAAACACACCGACTCTCCCATCCGTACCGTGTCATTGGACAGGCGGTTGGTGATGTCACCTTCAAGGTCAGAGTGGAGAACATGTCAGAAAAACAGCTGCGTCTTCGTGAACTCATGGTGTCGGCGAACGCCAGGAGACCACAGCTGAACTCCTCTGGTGGCGCTCGTCCTGACTTTTCACGTCATGTGACATCATGACATCATCTTACCCGGCTTCGTGACCTCGAAGAATCCAATCTCCTGTTTCGTCAAAGCCCCGAACAGCTGGAGCTTCATCCGACACGTGAACGAACCGATGGCGCAGGTTAGAATCCCTCCTCTGCAGCCGGCACTCAACGAACTGGAGGGAGAGAGAGAGAGAGAGAGAGAGCTTGAAGGTCATCAGGGTCTGCAGTGGACAGAGGGGAGACCCTGACGTGTCCCTCACCTCCCCAGGGAGTACAGGCCCATGAAGAGGAGCGCAGATCTGAACTGGTTCCTCTGGTACTGACTGCCCAGGATGTCGATGATCTGCCCCGTGTAGAACGGAATGGACATCTCACCTGAGGAGGTGAAAAGGTCAGTGACCCCAGGTCAGGTCAGACGACCAGCATTGAAACATCGTTGCTTTCACATTGAATCCCAGTATTTGAACCACGTGACCTTCATCATCATCATCATCATCATCAGCTGTGTTTACTTACACACCACAGCCAGGGTCAGGAAGACGAGCCCCCCGCCCAGCAGGGGGTAGTCCGGTCTGTACAGCTTCACCACCCTGAGGAATTGAACCCTCGCCTTCTTCTTCTGCTCCCGTGCTGCGGCGGCGGCGTCCTCGTCCGAGTCCGGAATGGTCACTTCCCAGAAGAGCGCGGCGGACAGGGAGGCAGCGACGAACAGCAGCCAGCATCGCGCATCCGCCAGACGGCCACACCGCCCCCCCGCCTCCTCTCCCGGGTACAGCGCCGTGGAACCGGTCTCGAACACCGCGGGAAGAAGGCTGTGCGCCGTGATGACGCGGAGCAGCAGCCGCCTGACCCGGCCGAGCGTGAGCCGAGTCGCCGCAGCCAGAGCCCAGAACCGGAGCAGAGCGAAGCCCCAGAGGACAGAGAGACGGACAGGGACGCCGGGCGTCTCCACCGACGCCCGCGCGTAAAACACGGTCAGGTCGACGCAGAGAGCGCAGACCAAAGCGGCGACTCCTGCGGCGAAGGTCATCGCGTTTATGGACGTTACTTCAACTGATGTCCGTCCTCGTGTGACCCGAACTGTTGTTGTTACTGCTGCTGCTGCTGCTGTTCTTTACTTTTGGTTTCTGTTTGTCCCCCCCCCCCCTCCTCCTCCTGTTGCAGCAGCAGCAGCAGCATCAGTGGATCGTTCCAGAAAGTACACATTCAGAAGTGAAACCTTTAGTTTCTTGTTTATTTGTCAACAGACCTGAACCTGTCGTTTCTGTCTGGATATTAACAATTAAACTGTACACATGTATATTTTTGTGTTTATTTTATATATATTGTTATATTTTCATATATGTTGCTCAGTAGAACGGACCAGTGGTGAACAGTTAGTGTGAACAGTTAGTGTGAACAGTTAGTCAGGTCACAGTGATAATGAAGCCTTGACCTTTGACCCTTAAAGAAATGAGACACTTCTGACGTCAGCAAAACATTTTTTTTATTTTTTATTACAGATGCAGGTGAAGTACGAACTGCGATGCGATCACTGGTCAAAGAAGGTCATGAGGTCATTTCCCAGAATGACTTTCTCTTCTGCGCCCTGTTCGTCGATGGTGACCATGTAGGCCACGCCCCCACTGGAGCCGTCGCGACTCATTGCCAACGACAGAGCTACAGGAGACAGAGACGCAGAGCAGGTGAGGAAACGGAGAGGTTAGCATGGACCGTCGTTGTGTGACTAAAGTTGAGAGCGCCCCCTATGTGGAGCACTGAAACAGATTCAGTGAGAGCAGGGCTATCGAAGAAACTGAAGATTTTTCTGGAATAGCATCAAATGTTTTCGTGTCTTGAACAGAGCTGTTGCTCTACTGCCCCCTGTGGTCAGTTTGTGTCACAGGCAGAAGGCTGACCAACAGATTTAAGCGGGGGGGTAGGAGAGTAGAGGAGAAACAGGGCCGTCTTTAACCTAGCCTCAGACTCTTCCGACTCTACGCCAGGGGGCGCTCTCAGTCCTGTCTGTCCTGACCTTGTTAAAAAAACTTACTGTTAAGAACAAACTTCTGGGACTCCTCCTTGTTCATCCCTTTACGATACTCCGCATCAACAAACCCGTAAACGTAGAAGCTCCCAGAGCCGCCGATGGCGAACGGCTGCCGCGTCAGGAGGCCGTTGAGGGTCGCGTACACCTAGAAAAGGTCAAAGGTCAAAGGCCAGAGGGAGAGAGAACAGATGAAATCAGGCAGATCTCTTTCCCACCGACACCTGCAGCCCGGCGTTCACCCACCTGCCCCCCCTCGTGTCTGTCCCAGCCCGCCACGATGAGATGAGCCGACAGTTCCTCCTTGTACCTGTAGGAGATGTTCCTCACCAGGGTGGCAGCAGAGCGCACTTTAGGGTCCGCGTCAATCTCAACGCTACACCAGGGGAAGACGTGGAAGTAAAAAAATACCTGAGGTTAGATCGAATGTGGCCCACACTGGCCTGTAGATCATACAGATGTGGC